GAAATCGTTTTGTTGATCATTTTCAGTCCTCTGTCACTGATCCTTTTCAATCCCCTGAATAATTTCATCATGAAATCTACATTGTTGAATATGAACACAGGTACTTCTGCTTGCTGTCAGATGCTATTTGCAAAGAAGATCACTTTCCATCATTCAACTCTCAGTACCTATATATTTTTTTCAGCAAGGGTGTTTCTTGCAGGGAATAATTGGGTCCTATCGTTTACTGAAGTATGCTTATCTGTGTCTTTTAGCTTGAGAATCAAGACCATTTATTTTCAGAGTTATTATAGAAAGATATGTGATAATCAATGTCATTTTATTATTATTTTGCTTATGTTTCATCCTTTCCTAATTTTATTTTGCTTATCTCCTTTTCTTTTGAGTGTATGGGATTGCTTTAAGTATCTTCTGTAGTGTTGGCATACTGGTCATGAATTCCTTTCATTTGTGCTTATCTTGGAATGTTTTTTTATTTGTTTCTTGATCTTTGATGAGCCTTTTATCTATCAAGTATTTATTGAGTCATTAGCCCATTTTATTTGGATTTCCTATCTTTGTCTCGTAAATGTACTGAAAATGGCTGTAGGTTGTCTTTCCTTTTTTACTGATAATTTTGGAAAAGAGGGTTTTCTGATTATGGCAAAAATTGAATTTATTCATTTATTCCAATATAAATAAGTTCTTTGTGTGTGCTAATGAATCCTTAAATATCTCAATATCACAAAAATTTTAGCTTAAACTTTCATCTTGATGTTGTAGTTTTAGCTTTTGTGATTAAGTCTAGGGTCCATTTCAAATTCATTTACATGGAGGCTGGGGATTTAGCTCAGCGGCACAGCACCTGCCTGGCAAGCACGAGGTCATGAGTTCGATTCCCGGTACCGGAAAAAAGCAAACAATAAAACAAAAAAAGAAAAAGATAAATAATCAAATTCATGTACATGTAGAACGTAAAGTAAAAGTCAGCTGGCTTGTGTTGTTTTTATATGTGAATGTCTAACTTCTAGCATTATTTGCTTGAAAAAAATTGTCCTTTATTCATTAAATCCTCTTATCATATTACTGGAAAATGAATTGACTGCATATATATGGGACAACTTAGGTACCCTATTCTGTTAATGTATTTGTTGATCATAAGTAAGAAATACACGGCCTTAGTAAATGTACTTTTAGGGTAATTCTAGACATTCGGTGGTATGAATCCTCCAACTTTCTAAATTTTTATTTAAACTTGTGTTGGATGTTCTAGGTAATTTCCATTTCTGTACAATGTTAGAATTAACTTGTCAGTGATACAAAAAATCTTGCTCCTTTGAATGCTCAGTGTATAAAGCAATCAAGGGGAAATGACATTTTAATAATAATAGTGAATCCATTTGCCTCTGGGCAAATGATAGTTCTCTTTATATACATGGGTCATTTTTAATTTCTTGAGGAACTTTTTATAGTTTTCTCTGTAGATATCTTGTGCCTTTTACTCTTTCTTAGCTGTTTTTCTAAGTTCTTCATGCTTTTCTTAGTGCTACTCCCTATAGAATTTTAAAATGTTTTCCTCTGTTTGTTGCCAGCATACAGAAATACAGTTGATTATTTTATGTTGATCTTAAATCTTGCAGTGTTGCTAAATTCTAGTAATTTTTTAGTTATAATTTTCTACCTGGATAATTATCATCTGTGAACAATACAGTTTTACCTCTTATTTTACAACTGTTACACTTTTTACTGCTTTTTCTTGCTTTATTGTACTTCACGGAAATAGAGAATAGAAGCGGAAAAAAATCAGTCAGTGCGGCTCAGTGCTGATTTGAGGGGAGAAGAGCATTCAGTGAAATACCAGTTCACGAGCTATTGACTGTGAGTTCCTCTCAGTGCCGTACGGTTGTCGGATTGAGGGTGCTTCTTTTAGTTTTAGTTTGCTGAGCGTGTTTATCATTGTGTATTCGGCGTCATTAAGCGCATTTTCGGCCCCCACCAACATGACGACGTTGTTTTCCTTCTTTGTCCTGTGGTGCAGTGAGTATGCTCATGGCGATTAGAATGCTGAGCAGCCCTCGCACGTTTCCCTGGACACGTGCCATGTCCGGTGCTCTTCGGTTATTCTGTGGTTCAGCTTCCTTCTGGCCTCACTGCCCTGCAGCCTGTACTACTCCTTCCATGTTTCTTGTACTGCGGCTCTGTGGGTAATTACTGATCTGTTTCTGTTGACTTGGAAGTGTTTTTAGTTTGCTCATTTTGAAGGGTATTTTTAAGATCTGGATTGACAGATGTCATTTCTTTGTCTTCTGTCTCCAGTGTTTCTGATGAGAAGTTTCCAGGTCTCCTGTCGCAGTCTCACACTGCACAAGGTGTTGCATTTCTTGCTGCTTTCAAGATTCTCTTTGTATCTTTCACTCACTATGATTTGCCTAGTTTTGGTTTCCTTTATTTATTTTGCTTGGGTTTTACTACTCTTCTTAAACTTCCGGTTGATGTTTTGGCTACATTAGAAAGTGTTTTGATCATCATTCCTTCAGTGTTTGGAGCACTGGGCTACTATGCCTGCTCCTTCTCTCCCTTTTCTCCTTCTGCATGCTGGGTTACTGTTACGTCACAACCCCCCCGAGGTGGGATCTACTCATGTAAGGCAGGAATCATTCATCTCCTCTTTAATCATTCTGATGAATCTGCTTTCGTGGGCACTTGCCCAGTTTCCCGTCATCTTCCGTCTTCTGGTAAGCCTCCCCAGCCACTTTTTATTTCAGACATTTTGATTTTCAGTTCAAGGATTCCCATTTTTTTACTTTTAGAGGCTCCATTTCTCTGCAGAGATTCTCTGTTTGTTCATTCTCTCAGCTGGTTTCTCCCTGAATTCTTGTCCATGTCCTTCCAGCCACCTCAAACGCCCTGTCTGCTAATAGCAGCGTCTGGGCCACCTGAGCTCTGCTGCTGTTGACAGCTTCTTTAAAAACTGTCTGTGGTTCACATTCATCTGATTCTTTATATGGCCAATAATTTCCACTGCGTGTTGGATGTTATGAATGATACAGCGTGCAGTGGAAACGTTTGCCTTCCTTTAGAAGAGGCAGAGTTCATCCTCTCAGGCAGCTAATACCTAATGATTCTTTTCTTTCTTCTGTAGCATTGATTTTGCCTTTTCCACGAGCTGGCCTAGAGCAGCTGTTACGCTAGAGATGGTTCTTTCCTTAAAACACTGGACTCTGAGGTGTCAAAGTAAAATGCTGAAAGAACTGTTGAGCTTTTGCACCCTGGTCTCTCTGTCCTCCCAGTAACACCTAGAGTCTTTCTTTCACTCAGCTCCACTGCTTGGCTTCATAAAGCCTTACCTTGTGTGACCGAAGGCTTATGAATCCTTCCCATATGTTTCTGGGGGCCCTTCTTTGTGGCTTCTCTTTCTTCAGCTCTTTTTCCCACTTTTTCCAACTGTGAACTGTAATCAGTGTGTCTTTTGCACAGCAAAACCGCCTTATGTTCCTGTTCCCTGGGCTCCAATGAGGAAATCATCCCTAGGCTAAAATTAGGACTTCTCTGGGTTGTGTTCCTTCTCTTAGGGACTGCATTTCTGTGCTGCCTCTTTTGCAGTTTAAACATGACCACTGCATGTATTTTATCCATTTGTAGAGTTCTAACCATGAATGCACAGTCTGCAGTGGCCAGAAGCCCAAGTCTGGTAGGGTCTGTTCCTGAGGTCATCTTTCTCAATGAGCAAAGCACATGTCACATCCTCTAGAAGACTTACTTTTGCAAGATTAATGGGTCCCAGCCTTTAGAGTTTCCCATTCAGTAGGATTAAGGTGAGGCCCAGGAATTTGCATTTCTGATGGCCAGAGGATGCTAATAGTGAGTCTGCAGACCTCACTGAAAAGCACTTGTGCTCAAGGTGAGTCTGGACAAAAAATACTGAGACATTTTTTTCTGTTGCTATGTTCTGCATCACAGATTTATATTTCCATGCATTTGTGTCAGTGCTAGTACCTTGTTTGATCTACTCAAATATGGTTTTCAAAAAATCACTAGGGCTTTTTGTGCATTGAAAAAAATAGACTTTCTATTTAATTGGTAACTACAACCAGAAAATACTTATATAATAATGAATGCATTGGATTTGGACAAAATGTTGATTTTTCCATACAGACATAAAACTTCTCAAACATAGACATTGTTACATTTAAGAAATATTTGGTTTTTGTTTCATAAATTGGATGATAATTATTCTTAGATAATGATGTGGGAGTAGCTTTTATGTGTGAATTGAAGAAATATCATGTACAGATACAAATTCCCCCGATGAATGTGATCATTGTGTTTATCTAAAATGTACCCCCAAAATAGTCAAACTAAAAAACATACAAAGCATGGAAAAATGATCCTTGTAGGAGCCCCCACCACGTGGCTTGCTGGGCCAGGCTCTACCTGGGAAGACTTCCTGAGAGCTCCCACTTTCCCTTTGGAGTTATCAGGAGAGCCTGTCATCCCCGCAGCCCCAGCAGCTTATTTCTTCTCCTCCCCTTCCCTCCATGGTTCCCTTAAGTGTATCACTCTTCTGTGAGGATTAGGAAATCATTGCTTTCTCTTACTCTAACTCACGTCTTTCCTATCACTGTGAGGCCGGCACTGATATCATTTTGTGGGGGCTGGTTTTTTCGGGACCCTGATGTGGTTCTTGTAGTGGTGACCAGGACAGAAACTGCCCTCTCACCAGAGGCGTAGTGTTTGTCTCAATTGAGAGAACACACTGATCTTATTTCTTCAAACTCCTGTCAATTTCTGACACATTTTTCAATTTTCGCCTCTTTAGTTTCTTTGAAACTTGGTAGAGTGTCCTCTGTGAGTAGATTAGGAGGCTGTGGGGCAGCGTATTTTAAATATGGTTTCAGCTGCGAGGTGTGAACAATAAAACTTCGATCTCAGCTTCACATATCCATTTTCAAATATTTTGGTACAGGAATGGTGAAATAGTCATTTTGAAATAGTAAGCACTCAAAACTCATTTTAACACATGCATTTTGAAGGTTGGGACCACAAGTATGGCTCCTGGATGGATGCAGACAGCCCTGTCATCTGCCTCGCCAGGTGGTACAGTGTCATGGGGCATCCGCTAGAAGTGCCACACTATGGGTGCTGATGGGTACAGTCTTGGTGTCACTCATTCATGTCACTATATGTGTTTGAAAGCTAAGTAACATGTAGGTGAATTAATGTATCACTACAGCTACAGTGAAAGTCAGTTATTCACAATTAAGTCCCAAAGGCATGCTTGATATAAATGATGAGCAATCACTAAGAAATCGTTTTGGGGTTGTTACCCAAAGGAATCTTGATGTTCTACATTTCAGATTGGAAAACTAAACTATTATCTCTAAGCCCATCTAATTTTGGTTATTGCAGTCAGAGTTATTTCTTTAAACATCTAATCTTAATTTTATTTCATAGAGTAGACCAACAAAAGTATTAGAGAAAGCATTTTAAATTTCAGCAATTAAAATTTTTTTAATTGTAAAAATCTTAAAATCCTCTATTGTATTGGTCTCTTCATTATTTCTACCTTTCTAGCACTTAAAGTTAAGGAGAAAATTAAGCACTCTAAATTCTAATGAGCCTCTAACCAAAATATCTTATTCTTTTGTCTGAAGACGTCCCCTGATCCGATTAGGCTGACATGACTAATAGCTAGTTCCAGACATTCCTGCGAGGTTCCTCTATTCTTGTGTTTGTTTTGTTCCCTCTTTGCTCTGCTGGCCTCCCTCTGCTTCTCGGGATGAAGCTAGAACATTACTTTGCAAGGAGGGCATCCTGGGATGAGCAGACCTGATGGTGCATGAACCTTAGACTGGAAAGGGCTGTGGCACCTGTGGAAGAAGCCCCTAACTTCTTGTCGGGGAGAGGGCTCTTTGCCTAAATGGTGCGGCAGACAGTTTTACACTGTGCTCAGAAACGACGAAACCTGGGAGAAAGCACCCTTGTGGGGCTCGTGCTGCACTGGCAAAGAGTGCATATGCAGTGGGAAGCCGGGGCAACCCCAGCTGGCTCCCATGGGTTAGGATTTGTGCTCGGTGTTTTCCTCTAACTCCACTTTTCACTCCCCCTGACCCTAGCATGCCTGGTGACTTGCTTTCATGTTATACTAACACTGCAGCCCAGAACCCTTCCTGACACATCAGCCCTCAGGTAGGAACTTTCTCAACCCAGGACACGTTCATCCAGGGTGGGCCGGATGGATAGCGTGAGGGTGGGCACAGCTGTCCGCCCCACTCCCCTGTGCCCCGCTCCTTTCCGAGCTGCCTCGCCAGCTTCCTCATGGAAAGTCTCTCAGGCATCCTGATGTCCACACATCAGACCTCGCTGCATCCCAAGCCCACGCCCTGCTCCTTCCACCACGGGTCCCCCTTGCCTCCTCAGCTCCTCATTCTCCTGCAGAGCACTGAAGACTCCACTTTCTCCTTTCCACTCCTCGGCCCCACATGCAGCCAACCGCCAAGTTCTACTGAGTTTCCTTGTCCTTCCTCCAGAACCCATCTCTGAGATCCACCATGCTGTCACCATGATTCCAAATGACTTTCAAACTATAGTCTACACTCAGCTGGTGAGTGGCCCAGGGCTTCCTGTTGAGACTGAGAAGGGTCTAAAAAATGCAAGTTCTAGGAATGTGGTCTAGCGCTCAAAACAGGAGAAAACTGTGGTCAGAATGATTGGCTGAACTCAGCGTACTGCTTGCCTAGCTGCATGTCTCTGTGTGCCTCCACCCCCACATCTACAAGATAGAGGTGATATCTATGCATTAAATTGTGATGAAGAAATGAGATAAATGTATATGTAGCATTTTGCAACCTGGCTGGCTCATAGCATGTGTCTAATTGGTGTTGTTATCATGAAATGTAATATTTTATAGTTTTTTATTTTCATATAAAACTATGTAAATTATCAAAGACTCAATTGATGTGACAAGATCAATGTGATTGGAGTTTTTCAAATACTATAGTTCATTTTTCTTAGAAGTTTGATTTTTGCTTGTTGTTGGAAGTGCTACAAGATCCCTATGCTGTGTGTTCATACTTGGGTAATTAGAACCCCTAGAATTTAGAGGAAAGATAACTTATAACTAGGTGTCTTTGCTTGGTCATAATTTTCTATTACTGCTGTGCTGCAGTTTTGGTTATAAATTTTATTTGCCTTCATCATTTTATATGGTTTATTGGAGATTGTTTGGTTAGCCTTATGTTTATAGCGGTTCACATTTGCACCATGTTTATGTTTTGTTGGTCTCTAAGAACCTAAACTTTAAGACACCCTTGTGGTGTGGTTTAATCAGAGATTATCTGATCCTCCATGTCCCCACTGTAGATACACACACACACAATACATGCATACACACACATTCCTACTCCGAAATCAATCCTATTGTTTATTCACTTATCACTGCATTATTTTTCAGTAGCAAATGGATTCACCTATCAGGCTGTGTCCTCAGCGAAACAGTCTGTGGGGCTGACATGCACATGGCAAAGGTCTTCTGCATCTGTCCCCATCTCTTTCTTGAAACAGCTGTGTGAAACCCTGCTCCCACCTCGCTGACTCCTTCCTTGAGATGTGTGCCTGGCACCTGCCACCTGGTACCCTTGGGCTCCAGATTCCTTTGCATGCATGCAAGGCCTTTGCAGTCTGCACTACGCTCATCTCCCTGCCCTTTCGTGGCACCATTTCTCTCTAAAAACTCACCATTTATACCAAACACATGTGCTTCCAGCACTGAGCACTGCCTCCTGAGGTTCCCAAGCCAGCTGGCCACCGGTTTTTACTATAGTGTCTGATTTGCTTGATGATCAGATCAAAATAATTACATTTTATAAGTAAATCTGTGAAAACACACACAATGTTTTGTTATATATGAGCAGATTAAGTCATCTGACCGACATTTTCAGATATTTTAAATTTCCATGTTTTTTCTTGCATTTTATTTTTTTATTTATGTGGCTCAACAACTGTCTTTATTATTTTACTATGTCACATGATGGCCTTATTGATCTAAACCTGCCGAGTCTATTAAAACGTCAGGGTTTCAAAAAAACTTAGAGATTATCTGATCTGCTATCATTTATAAAGTTGGAAGCCAACTTGAACTTTATTTTATTAAATTTCTTTAGTGAATTTTTATGAAAGATATTAGAGCAGCTTTCTTACTAGTGATATTGTGAGAAAATAAGAATGATCAAAAGAAAATACAAGATATAAGCTGTGATCAAAATATACGGTGGACATTTAAATTACAATTTATGACAGTGAAAGATACATTGCCATTAATAGCCCTCAAAATACGCCCCTTTGCATCCAACACATGTACTTATCCCAGTGTTTCTGTCACTTTCTGAAGCCCCTTTGGAAGTCCTCCTTGGTGTCTTTACTGTAGTCTTCTTTGATAAACAACAAAACAAACAAGAAAGGCAAGTCTGCTGCTCAGTGCCATCTGATGGAAAGGCAGGCTTGTAGAAATGTTATAGCGTGCCTTCATCCACCCCCTTCATTGGGTCTGCACCAGGTGACTTTGGCTCTTCCTCCAAGTGAAAGTGACCCTGAAAGGTAAATGTTTTGAATAGATGGAAGACATCAAGGCAGCCACGACAGTGCAACTAAAGACACTCAGACAAGAGGACTTGAAGAATGGCTGCAAAAAGTGGCAAGAACAATGGGATAAGTGTGTTCCAAGTGAGTATTTTGAGGAGGGTTAACAGCAATGTGTCTTTTACTGTAATACATTTTTAAAAATTCTAGCATTCATCGTAAGTTTCAATCACATTGCAGTTTTTAAATTAGTATTCTCATGTCTTTTTCTTTATGAATATGCATGATCTTTTTCAACACATTCATAGCTAGTATTATAAAAAATTCCTTGGAAATGAAGGATGAAAAATTCATGCTTGCATATGCATGCAGTTCGTATGTTTGTGTATGCAGTGAGCTTCCAGTGTATATTTGAAGAGGCTGCAGGTTACAAATGTGTGAAATAGAATAAAGTCACACAGCTGCCTGTCCAGGAGTGAAAGCTAAGTGTACATGGCCACCTTGGTGCCCGGGAGTGAGTGGATGCTGCGGTATCAACCCCAGGAGACCCCAGAGAGCTGTGCCGAGCCGGCCTCACAAGCAAACGCCAGACGTGGACCGGAAGCAGTCTGTAGCCGTGGAAATAGGCCATGGATGAGCAGAGCTGAAACTCACTGACTCTCATACAGATTTTGTTAGAATTTGTTAAAATTTTGTCTTTCTAAATAAATGATAGTTCCTTTTGTTTCCATTTTGCTGGTGGCCTTCAGTTTCTCACAGAAAGCAGGCTGAGGCCAGGCACAGGCTGTGGTCCCCAGCTGCTGCCGGGATCCCTGTGCAGTCAGCTTGGGCCAGGACCCTAATGCTGCCCGGTGCTTGAAAGGGTGACCGAGAAAAGCCTGTGGGGAGCGACAACATGAGTCCTCCCCTTGGGCCTAGGAGGAGCCAGTGTGCTTGACGTGGGCCAGCAGCTGCCTGGTGGCTGTCCTCGTGCCCAGGGTGCTCACCTGCGCTGGCCCTCAAGTCTCCAGTGGGCTTATTGCTGTCCCTCTCTGGAGGTGCAGAGCATAGGTGGTGGCTGACATGCAGTCCTGCCTGCTGGGCTTTTTCTAGTTAAAATCACAGTGCACTCATTAAGGTTTGGCAGCATTAGGTGGGTTGTCAGGGTCTCTCTGCTGTTTCATGTCCCCCAAAGTCCTTAGATACCAAGACACTGAAGAGTAGAGCCCCACCAGCCTGGGTGCTTTGGACACTGGCAAGGACCCTAGCTCATCTGAGGCTCTGTAGGCACAGCTGCTTTCCTTTACCCTGATGGCCAGTGCACCTGAGATTGCCTTGCAGGGACGGGGGTGACGCATCAGTAATTAGCGGAGTTTGGAGAACAGCTTGGTAGGTGTTGCTTCTAGAAAGTCTTGGAGTTAAATTTCCATCCTGCTGGGACTAACTGCCTGGCTTTTCCTCCTGGCCTCCTGGCCTCGAAGTCCTGGGACATAAACACCATGTGGATGCTTTCAAGATGCCCAGAGGACCCTCAGGAAAGACTGGAGCCGGGCAAAGGGCTGGGCACATTTGCCTCCCAGGACTCGGATTCTCGGCATTAGTTCGGAAAATTAGGAGTTGATTTTACTTCCTAGCACTTCCACTGCCAGGATGTCTTCTTCCCTAGATTCGTGTTAAAATTGTACCACCCAGAAGTGGGGTGCTGATCACAGAGTGAATATTGGGTAACACTTAGGAGGTCTCAAAACAGGATTATTGATTTAGACATGTGATATGGAGCCCCTCTGAGTCAAATTCAGCCTAAAACTGGTTCTGCTCATCTTTAAGTCAAACTGTGAATACATTATAAAGATATCACTCTTTAAATAAAGTTATTCTCAGTACGTTGTTGAGTGGTTTTCTAGTTAGCAGATCAAGTGGTCATAGCTAGCCTTTTCCCTAAGTCTTCGCTCCTCTTCGTTTCATGCTTTCTCCCTTCTCTTCCCTTTCTTGTGGTGCTGGGATGGAAGCAGAGCCTGGTGCACATCCGCCAAGCGGTCCACCCCTGAGTCTCACCCACACCCCTTGCTTTATTCCTGGTTTAGGCCACGGGGCTTCCTCTGTCCTCCTACACCGTGTCCTCCTCGTCCACACTGATGGCCCTCATTCTCCGTGCCTCTTTCTAATCCTTGCCAGCATCTGAGCAGAAGGGTGAAAGAGGGCCTTTGCTGTCTGGTGTGTCGGCGTGCCCAACATTTGACGGATGGCCCTCGTCCTTGTCCACCCTGATACTGCATCCTCACTTACCCTTCTCTTGCCCAGAGCCCTCCCATGGCTTCCCTTGGCCTCTAGAATTCATCCGAAGTGCTTGCTCTGCCCATGGCCTCAGGGCTTCCTTAGTGCTCGTCTTCTTCCCTGAGTGTGGCCCCTGCTAGCTCTCCAACCACACGTCCCTTCTAAGTGCTCTTCAGCTGGGCCGCTTGCTTGTCATTGCTGGGCTGTCCCAGGGGCTGAAAGAGGTGATGTGTGCTCTGTGCCTACCCTCACTCCTCCTCCACGGACTCTGTCGGCCATCCACGGCGGGACCGGACATTGCTGTCGTCTCTCCACTGTCGCACCTCTGTGCACACTGGAGTCCTGGAGCTGAGGAGACGGCCACCCACGGAGGGAGGGCGATGGTGCCTCCACCCGTGGCCCAGAGAAGGTCTTTGCGGCACCATTCTTGTTCCTTGGGGCCTGGGTCGCTCCTGCAGGTGGCAAACACACTTCAGGAAGGAGTGAAGAGGCGCAGAAGGGGCCACGCAAGCCCTGGAGGGGCCAGCTTCTGCCTGCGCTCTCGGTCCCTTCCCCTCCAGCACTCCGATGGCTCAGGCCGCTCCCCACTGGCTTGCTTGTGCTGACCCTGGGACACCTTCCTCTGCCTTCCCTGCCCCTTTGCCTCCTTCAGAAATCATGGTTAAAGGAAATAAAATAGTTACGTGGAAATGCTTTCTTAATATTTGCAGTTCCCTGAGCCTCTAATAAGGAAGGTAAAGTTTGAGACAAAAAAACTGTACTTTTAATTACATGCAGATTTGGATGCCCCACTCGATAACTAACAGACTCCCCTACCACGGCACATTCAGAGCATTTGTCTTGAAATGACAAACTGCCGTGGGTGACAAGGCCGTGTGTGGCTGAGTGGCCCCTGGCCACTGAGCCCGTGGGCAGCTGTGGGCGTGGTCTGGAGTGGCCCACAGAGGAGGCTGATGTCCGCACTTGCAGCTGTCATTGGACAGACACAGAGCTGCTGTTTCTGAGTGGGCAGAGAGAAGGTCACAAAGTAATTAGGCTCCTCTCCTCAGAAAGTCTGAGCCCCCCCAGAAAAAGTGATTGCTCTTGGAGGTCACCAAAGATAGGGTGTACCTGGAAGACCGGGGCTTAGTTGAGCCATACCTGTTGTTCAGAGGTACGGGCCAGAGGTGATTTCCCCACCCTATGACTGGGTGAGTCTCCTCCGGGTCCCGCATGGCCTTCTGGCAGAGGTGCTGAATCTGGATTCCAGAGGGGACTGTGTCCTCTGTTTATAGGACCCTCCAGAGCTGCGTGAGACAGGAGGCAAAGGGGGTGGAGGAGAAAAGGAGCAGGTGACCTGATGGTGTCATAGGGGGGTGGCTCTTTCCGGAGAAGAGACAGCTTGGTCTTGCCCCAGAAAGGATCCTTGCCAGGCCAGGGGCAAGCGGGTCGGATATCTGGGTTCAGTGTCAAATGCGTCCCATCCCCAGGCTATCTTTGCCCAGCTTTGCGCTTGACCCCAGGCTTCTGCTGCCTGCCAGCCCTCTCCATGTTCTGGGTCTCTTTTCTGAGGCACTCGCAGCTTCCGTGTCCCCTCTGTGCCTCACACACTGTGCCAAAACAGTAGTTTGGCCACGGGCGCATCGACTCACCAGCGCCAGGGTCTGCCGAGCAGAAGCAGCTGGGCAGACTGTTTCCCGGAGTTGTCTCGCACCCCCAACAGCAGAAGAAGCTGGTGGCCGGCATTGCCCAGCCTGTTCACTAATAGACACCAGTCCAAAGCCAGCCTGGAGAGAGGAAAGGAGAAGAGGAACGTGAGAAGGAGAAGGGAGGCATCGTCCACATCTCGGGCCTCCTTGGCTTCCCTCTGACCATTGATGCTGTGCTCCTTTCAGCTTCCTAAACGCAGGGTCCTTCTGCAGCTCCTGTGTTAGCTTCTCTGTCTAGTATGGTGTATGCATTCTTCTAGTGGAGGAGTCTTTCCCCGTCCTTAGAACTCTCTAATGTCTCTTCTCAGGAAAACTGTTGCTTTTTCCACGTCACTACTTCCTTTTCTCCACCATGCACGTCGAGGTATCTAATTATTTTATATTCTCCTTAGTCCCCGTGCAAGTGTGGGTCTCCTGGGTGGTGGGATGCTGACCGGCCTATCTGTCTCTGTTTCTCTAGGATCCAGCTTCTGAAAACACACAGATTCATCTTTCTGTCTAAGAGCTGGATAATCACTTGTGTAAAGCAGAGGTGCATCTCTAGCCCGCCTGGAGCGCCAACCCACAGCCCTTGGGCCTGAGCTTCGTCTCTGGGATTTACAGAGCCAGGACTTGTAGGAGAGACGTGGGTCAAAACGCTACCCCCCCGTGACAGAGGAAATTTTCTAGATGGGACATTGACAGGCAGAAAATGGAGATTTCCTAGCCGGCTTCCATGTCTAAATAATTTTGCCATTTTTTTTCCTTTAGTGTCTAATTTATATTTAGAAGTAATTATAATGCTTGATTGCATAGTAAATGAAATGAAGCATTATTATGAATTTAAAATCTATATTAATAGAATAATAATACAAATTATATATTGTCTTATAATTTATATTAAAGATCTTGGGAACATTGCTAATTTATGTAACTGTTGAACATAAATGAGGATAATAGAACATAACTTACAAAAGTTATCGTTCATTTTTATCCATTTTGGGCCATCACATAGCAGATCTATAAAACAACAGAAAGTCTTGTAAATACACCATATGGTCTGGTCTATTGTTTATTCTGGGATGTGAGATAAAGTAGTTATTCAACGTTAAAAAATGAATGATTAATAAAGCCTCCTCTACATGTGCAGCTGGAACTTGGTGGGATTAGAAAAGTTTTATGCAGTCAGAGCTAGGAATTCACTAGATTGTGAAATAAGGATTAGTGCAATGATACTCCAGATCTGGGGCAGGAAATATGGTGGCTGGACGCCAGTCTCAGGAGGAGCTGAAGATCAGTGAACTTAGTAGCTGAGCAGCAGCCTATTTTCAATTTAATTCCATTTTAAAGAGAATTTCAGAACAAATTTTTACTACTTTCTCCAAATCAGAGCAAGCAAGGAGTCAGCAGCTTTAAGAGTCCCTGAGTACTCATTGACTTAATAGACAATTACAGCGTATTGTGGTTTTTTTTTTTTTTTTTTTTTTCAAAAAAGTTAGCTGGTTTACAAGTCCCTAATTACAGATTTGCACTATAAACTTATCAAGACATTTCAAAATGTACTTACGGCCCTCATGACGCAGTCTGTGGTGAGGCTCCTTGCTGAATTCTCAGCCAGCTTCCAGGCCTTGTGAAGAGAGGGCAGAAGGGCCTCCTTTTGCTCCGACTCATGGCCTTTGGCCGCTGGGCGCCAGCCCCGAGCACGTGGCCCATTTCCTGGAGTAGCTGCACAGCTCTGCTCCCTGCCAGTCTCCGTCCACAGAGCGGCCTGGGGCTGCCCGGCAGGCTGAGCCAGTGCCGCGTGGACAGCATGGCTTGGTGGCCAACAGGCCCAGCTCCATGAGGAGCTGAAGTAGGTGAGATGCTCTCGTCTTTCCAAGAGGCAGGAGTTGCATCAGGTCAGTGGTCAGACAGTGAGGTTCAACACGTTCTATCCCTGTCCCAACTTCAGACTCGCCTTGGCTGTAAATCCGTGGAAGTCAGCGGACGTCCAGTGGGGGTGCTGACTTAGGCAACAGATCTTTTCAGGTTCCCTGAAAGATTTTAAGACTGCGCCTTCTGCAGGGAGAGGACACTGCACGCAGTTAGTAGGTCCCTGCCACTCACCAGAAGCCGTGCCATGCCTGGTGAGCCACCCTTGACCACATGACCTGAGGAAAGGCCGCGCCAGCTTTGAGCTGCTGTTGCGGCAGATGAGGTTTTTCTGTTCTGTCCCCTGTGCAGGGCTCTCTACGAGGACTTGAAACCGTAGGGCCTGGGACCCCACGGGGCTGCGTGGCCTGCTGCTGGGTGGCCCCGCGGGACAGTGACTGAGGCTGCGCTGCTCCAATGCTGTGTCCCCTAGTGCAGTGGAGGAGGTGGCCTCTGCTCAGAGATGCTTCCCTGTAGCTGCAGCAACACCTTTGTTCAGAATCGGAGGTCAGGTGAGGGCAGGTGCAGGAGGGATGCTGCTTTGCAGACCAGCTTCACGCTGTTACTCCTCCTACCCCTCAGAAAACATTTTATTCGCTTGTCTTCCGTGGTACTAAAAAGGCTAACAAATAGCTGACAGTTTCATCTTACAAAAAGGCATATCCTTAAACGACTCAGGAATGAACATGGAAACAAATACTTTTTAAGTATAAAAGCAGCATTACAGTTCTTAAAGCATTCTTCGTGTGAGAACGGCGTAACATGAATGCCTTTCCCCCCCATTTTACTCTGCATTCAAAGCAACCAAGAACCAAGGATTTGAAAATATATACAAACCTAAAATCCAGTGGACATTGTGAAAAACAAACTTAGAGAACTAAAAATTTTTTTAACCTTTTGGGAACTAAGAGCCTTTGGCTTACCTATTTACTTTTATTATTGATTGATGTTTATGCGTATCTGGGTATTCATTTCAAACCATAAGGTAATGAGGAGCCCAAAATTAAAAAGCAAAACAGAAGATAGATGACAGGAAACAGGGAGATAGAGCTTTCACAAATGGGGAGGGTCTGAGTGATGAAGGGAGGGAGGAGGAGGGGGAGGGGTTGTAAAAAGAATGAAGACGTATTACGTGCATGTACCAGCCCCCCATGGTGAATGTACGCATTATGGAGTGCAAACATGGACTCATAAAAATAAAAATTTAATAATTAGATTTTTTTTCCCTTACCTAAAGCAGTCAGTTTTGCTTCAACACACAGATTATTATAGTTATGTGAGGGCAGCACATTTGCAGAGTCACTGGACTGAGTCAGCTGTCCGTCCAGTGTGGTGACCCTCTACTGCCGTGGCCTACCCAGGGCTCACACATCCTCTGTGCTCGAGTGAGGGCTGTGGACGCAAAGGCAGAGCCGCTGTGCCCGGCAGTGGCCTCTCCCCACTCTCGCTGACTTAACTCCTGACCGCAGTCCTCTGCCGTCTCATCCTCAACTGGTGGCAAGGATTTGCAGCAAGACTTCTAGGTGTACTCACTTTCAGTCCTCCCATGACTCCCAAATAGTTGCACGTCACTAGGGACAGAAGCAGCTGCTGAGAACACACCCCTTTACCTTCCATTTCTCCTTGCCTCCAAAGGGACAGCCCCTCGCACACCCGCTTCTCCCTAGGGCTGCTTTACTTGACTGTCTTCCTGAACCATGAAAGCTGTTATTGTCCAAAGGAATTGCAAAACAGAGGAAGGGACGTGTGCTTATGGAAGCTCTTATTCTTTAATGTAGCTTATATTTTTTTAGATGGACAAGAACATTCTCCATCATCGCCTTTGAAGTCAGCATTATCTTTTATTGTGATGGGTTTGCTTTGCCGTGGAAGTCATCAGGAGAGAAGAGGAATCTTTTATGTAGTACCTCCTACCCAACTGTGCTGTGTGCCAAGCAGGGAGGAACAGTTCAGCAATGCACAGACTCACAGCTTGTTCTTGGGTTGTAAATTCAGAGAGTAAGGCAAAAAAAAAAAGTTCAGTCACACTTAATGGAGAACATGCCCTGCCGGTGGGTCTGCTGTCCATCACTGAACTGGACTGCAACTCTGGGCCCATCCCATGAGGAAAAGTCACTGGAGTGAGTTGAGGTCCACGCTGTGTGAAGACTCTACCACTTATCGGTATTAGGGTCATTTGGAGTTCAGGAAGCTCCTCACATTATAGGAACATTTGGGACTCAGAGTGCCAGCCTCTGGCTTCCAAGTGTTGTAGAACTGGATCAGTTATATTTGCAGTAGTTCTCTCTCTCTCTCTCTCTCTCTCTCTCTCTCTCTCTCTCTCTCTCTCTGTCTCCCCCTCGTTCCTCTTTCTATGTGCATTTGAATTTGTACATATGCTGGAATTCTATTCTATTCTATTCTACTCATTCTGAAATGAGTAGAATAGAATAGTATTTGATCACCTTGATATGCATGACTACTCTTGCTGTCTTCTGAAGCTCAGTTAGGGAAAGTTTGTGCACACTTCAACATATTAAATTCTGATTATTATAGAAAGCACAAATTAATAGAATGAATGGAAGGGAGAAAGCAACAAAAATATAATGACAGTTGGGGAACTTCAGTACTCCACTTACTGTCTGGTAATGAAAATCAATAGGAAAACATTGCTCTAGGTAACACTACAAACCGAATGTACCAACAGACACAAAGAGTTTTATTCCATCAGAGTTTTCATGCCCATGCACAGAACGTCTTCTGGTAGAGATCATATTTAGGATCCCAACATACATTTTAACAAATTTCAGAAGCTTTAGATAATTTATAATATCTTCTCTGTCTACAATAGTATAAACATGGAGATTAATAGTGAGATATTTTGGAAAATTCACAAATAATAGAACATTAAACAAACTTCCTGAACAACCACTGGGTCAAAGGGAGAAATGAAAAGACAGTGAAAAAAAAAAATGTGACAAACTAAAGTGGAAGCACAACTTACCAAAATTTAAGAGATTTAGTGTTTCTGTTTTAATATTTTTTATTCTCTTTAATTGATCAATCCTCATTCTTACATCTGGTTATCTGAGCAACTTCCTGGAAGATAACAACCTAATGTAACAACCATTGTTAATCTCCTATCATCTTGTTTTGAAATTTTGTATCATTTTTATTGTTTCTGTGTTATTTTGTTCTTATCTTTGTTGTTGTTACTTTGTTCTCTTTTCTCTTAAAAAAATCTTAGGAGATGCAGAGAAAGCCACGCTCAGAGGGAGGTTCATCGCCATAAACACCTCCAATGATACAAAAAAAAGATGTCAGGAGCAACTTGACTTCACACCTCAGGAACTACATAAAAAGAAGAAAGTAGACCAAAAGTCAGGAGAAGGAAACAAACAATAAAGATCAGAGAGAACCAAATAAACTAGAAAGACAAAAGATCACAGAAACTAGAACTTGGTGTTTGAAAAGATAAAATTTATGATGCTTTAGCCAGACTAAGCAAGAATGAAGCAATACAATTGATGCTACAGAAACACAAAGGATTCTGGGAGACTTCCGTGTTCTTGGTGTGTGTTTACTACACTTTTAATGGTTATCTTGGAGCATAGCCCTTTTACTTATTAAAAACATTTCTTGTGGACAGTCTGCTGTGTCTCACTGGGAGAGGCCTCTTGCTCCTGGTGTTTACTGTGTCTCCTGATCACATGGAGGGGCCACCTCGAGGGATCGGCCATGTCATCTGGGCTGTGTGAGTCCATCAGTCTGTGATGTTTGCACAACAGCAGAGTTGCCAAAGGACACATTTGTCAGCACGGATCCCCATCCGTGGCGTATGGCTGTGTGTGGGACCCAGGAAGTAGAACTCAGAAGCAGAGAACAGAATGACAATTATCAGGATCTACAAGGTGGGGGAAATGGATCGATGCTAGTGTGAGGATATAAACTAAGTCGTAAGGTGAATAAGTTGTTGGGGATCTAATATAGAGCATGAGCAACGATGGACTGCTAATTTGTGCAGTGTATACACATACCAGATCATTCTCAGTACATCTTGAAGATATACCATCTCTGTCGATTAAATACGTTAAAAGAAAAATCATGTAGAGCAGTTGCTTACTGTACAACATCCAAGCTAAGAACCTTGAATTATTGTCCTCACTACCATAGTATGATTTACAAAGTGATACTAAATTCTTTGACCTTTTAAGCTTTTGCTCATTGAAATAAGCAGATGTCTCAGATGGGCAATGGATCCAAACTTAAATGGGAACACTTACAGAATGACATCTGCAGGGCTTCCTCAGAATTCTGATTTTGTGAGACCCCAAAACGTATATATTTAAACATCTTTGGGTCCCTTCCCATTCTGAATGCCAGTACCAGGATCCCTGTCCTTCTCGTAGCTTCTAGGCCCTCTTGACACTGTGTGTCCATGGCCTGGGATCTTTCAGAGCTTGGTGTACGATTGTCCCACTGCTTCACACCACGCCCAGATGCACTGGGTGTGTATGGACCAGGTTCTACGGACACTCACACAGCCATAGGCAGGCTAGAAATTAAGTGAGCAGACATGATTGCAGTTTTCTGTCCCTCTCCATGTCTAGGGACTGTGAAGGTGAGCGCTATCTTTTGCTGTGTGCGCAGGTGGCCCGTGAGAAGTCCAGTCTATGCACCTCCTGGCACCCCCCAGCACTGATACCCGTGCCTGTGGAGACTTATCCCTGTCACAGAGCTGTGGTCCAGACACGTGGACAGACAGCAGTGCAAGCATGCCCTCCAGCCCCTCCACTGCATCGAGGCACCTGCCACAGACCCCAGGTGGAAGGTTCCTGCCACTCAGTAGCACAGCAGTTCTGTCAGCTCACAGGCGACTCAATAAAAGAATGTCATCAATCGTGGAGTTAGACTCGGGGAGAAATGTAATTAGAATTAAACACACACACACATACACACACACACACACACACACACACACACACACACGGCTTCTCAAATATCTCCTGACACTTTCTACTAAGAATGCCAAAAGCTTATTGGTCCTAAGAGCTCTTAAGGTGGCCTCGTGAGGTTAGTCTATGAAGGACACATTGCTTTAGGTGACCCTTGGGTTTGTTGCAAGATGTTACCGTACCCCTGCTTGGAGGTCTCGTGTTATAGAGAGGGTTCATTCTTCCAACATTCATAAGTTGGTCTATTTGTGAGGGGAGCAGATCGTGTTGGTAGCAGCTGGTTCTTTGGGCGGTTTTCTTGTTCAGTCAGGAGCTTACGTGTGACATCCTCAGTGGAGCTGGGTTGTACTTCTTTTCTCTCAGTTAAAAGGAAAGAGGGAGCAGATCAAGAATTGGGAAGTATTGAAGCAGTTCACAGTGACTCTGACACTTACTTTAGGCCTGTGCCTGTCTTCCCATCACATGAGTGACGAAGATTCTGGGAATCAGGGGGCACCTGTCACAGTCCTTTTGACCTGAGAGTGCCTCACTGCCTGGGTAGGGGGAGGCGGATGAATGAGGGTGTGAATGTGAGAGTG